GACAGCGGTAAACTTACGGACTTACAACATTAAAATCCGGGGTTCGATTCCCCGCAGTCGACACGACAGATAGCCCAATGTACCTTTGCACTAAACAAACAAACATTTGAATAATATGAGAGAGTATGGACGTTTTTTTTTCAAGTAAAATCGGTAAAGAATATAATTGATTTATTTTATGGAACATGTTTCATTAAATTAATTCTATATAAAAAAAAAACAGAAATTATAATAAAAGTTATAATAAAATATTATACGTCTTACTTACGAACTAATCATTTATTTAATTATTTATCTATGTTTCGGTTTTTTGGCCTGGTATGGCCTGGCGGTTAAGGCACTCGACTCACAATCTGAGAGTCGAGGATTCGAATCCCGTTACTAGTCATGTGACGGTCAATCCCACTGTTCGTTGGTGTAAGAGTAGCCCATAAGTTGGTGGTGGGTGGAATTGACTAAATGCCTTCCCTCTAGTCGCCCCCCCCCCAGTAGCACAGCGGTACGTCTGCGGGCTTACAACCTTAGAAACCCGATTTCGATACTCGTGGTGAGCAGAGCACAGATAGTCCATTGTGTGTGTGTGTAGCTTTGTGCTTAAGTTAAAACAACAACAACATCACTGCTAAATTAGGTACGGCTAGCGCAGATAGCTCTCTTGTAGCTTTGCGCGAAATTCAAACCATTTAATTTTTTTTCGATTTATTTCAAAATCTCATTTATTTCCATATCCAAATCGCACGTGCAAACGTTTGAGTCACGACAACTACTTATTTCGTATTACCTGAGATACAATAGAGGTCAGGCCTGTACTTAGTAGAATTCTGTGGAAAAAAAAACCTTTCCTTGTATTTGCTTTCCTCTTGTACTTTTCTCTCACAACAGACCCGACCTAGTCATGAAAGCGGTTTTGAAATAAAATCTCTGAAAGTGTTTTATCTGTTGCAATTTTTTTAAACCAAATTATTGTTCATTTCTTGTTAAGCGTAAAACTACACAACGAGTTATTTGTATTCTACCCAACGATACCCTATTTTTAGCGTTATAAGCCTTCAGACCTGCTGCTGAGTCACTGGAGGGTTAAACCAATTGAAATATTTTATTCAGTATATGTGCTTTTAAGTAGATGTATTCTTTTTTTTTGGAAACAGCGAAAAATATTTTCATTTATATTGTAAGATACAAGGCGTCTTTAAGTCCGGTTAGCCACTAATCGTCCCTCGCTGGGACAGCAGTAAATCAACGAGCTTACAACACTAAAATCCGGGGTTAGATTCCCGCGGTAGACACAGCAAATAGCTCAATGTGGCTTTGCTATAAAAACAAAAAAAGAAGGACCAAACGCTTTTTTACTGATTGTCGGTTTGGTATAGTTTCATTGAATTATTTAAAAAAAGGCTTAAGGTGTATTTTCCAACTGAAAGAAAAAAATAAGTCTTTATCTAGGATTAGCTCTAATTCAAATTGACTAGACTGCTAGCCATATTTTTGGTTCATAGAAAGACGTTCAAACAACTGTACCCTATTAAAGGATTATATGAAGTAGAGGGCGTGTTCAGACAAACCCCATGATCTGAATACTTTAAAATATATACCAATTTCCATCATTTTACGATTCTTCTCTTGTAAAGTGTGTCCCTCTGACGGTCACAGCTTACAACGCTAATTGAATGACTGCAAAACAGAAACTCTGTGACCGTTAGTAAATGTGAATATTTTTAGGTCTCAAATTATTACAGACTTAACCGAATTAGTACTTACAGTATATGAATATTTCTGATAGATACAGTTTTGTATTTATTTTTCGACCTTATAGCTAAGTATAACATTATGCGTTGACTGCCATGTATAGTTATGAAGCGCTATGTTAATTCCTGGCTCTTATTATATCTTCTTATCATTTGCAGCTGTTTACAGTTTAAAACTGGTGGAACTAAATGTCCCTGCTGGCGTTGCACTTGGCGCCCCCGTGTGGATGTATTGTGGTTACGACTTGGAAGGTGACGATTTGTATTCAGTCAAATGGTACAAAGACCATGTAGAGTTCTACCGCTTTCTTCCAAGTGACCAACCTCCTGGACAGAAGTATGATTTGCATGGAGTCAATATCGATGTAAGTATGGATTGTCGATGAAGTATACTGTATTTTAATAAATGCTGGAATGGAGGGAGACTAGAGGGAAACGCTATTCCCATTGAATAAATAATTGGCTATTTTTGTTTCCTTTGTTAACAAAATCATGCGCATTGGGAGAGTGTGATGTTTTGTGAGCGAGACTTCATTGACTGACTTCGCCTCGGTGGTTTGTTTGTTTGTTTGTTTTTTTAATTTCGCGCAAAGCTACACGAGGGCTATCTGCGCTAGCCGTCCCTAATTTAGCAGTGTAAGACTAGAGGGAAGGCAGCTAGTCATCACCACCCACCGCCAACTCTTGGGCTACTCTTTTACCAACGAATAGTGGGATTGACCGTCACATTATTCCACCCCCACGGCTGAAAGCGAGCATGTTTGGTGTGACGGGGATTCGAACCCCGCCTCGGTGGAGACACATGTACAACTTCAGTCTTACTGATTCTACCAGTAAATTTGTTTGTTTTGAATTTTGCGCAAAGCTACACGAGAGCTATCTGCGCCAGCCGCCCTTAATTTAGCAGTTTGAGATTAGAGAGAAGGCAGTTAGTTAACACCACCCACCGCCAACTTTTGGGCTACTTATTTACGAACGAATAGTGAGATTGGTCGTCATATTATAATACCTCCATGGCTGAAAGGGCGAGCATGTTAGATTAATAGTAATGCGAACCTGTAATCCGCAGATTACGAGTCGAGCGCCCCCTAACCACCAGGCTATATCACACTCCTTTTCTCTATTAACCGTATTTAGTTTGTCCTTAGCATTTGTTTTGTACGGTTATTGTTAAATATGTAGGTATTGTTGAACCTTAATTTTGATCTAACTATTGACTAGTCAACAAAGTAACCAAACCCACTATTTATTATATATATAAAAAGGAAGTATCAGTAGGGTACACATTGTTTTTTTCATTATACTTATAGAGTTGTCCCTGTTGAGTAGTTACAATTCGAGCACTGATTTTAATATGTTTGCAGATTCTATTTATTTTTAGAATATAATCCCATATTGAATGCAATATTGATTGCAGACATTACCGCGTGAGGTTTATACTATGAGTATTGCACATTACTTAACTTAAAATTAAATTTGGGCTCGTTATTATTACTATAATGGACGTAGCGTGTATATGTATCTATCTATGTGTGTGATCGAAATAATAAATACAATGTGGCACCATCTATTGAATGACACCACAAACACAAATCCATAAAAATTTCACACTTTGGGTATTGAAGATTCTTTATAATACAACACAATTTTTTCAATAAAAGCATTCTCCTCACAACAAGAACACGACTTTCACTAGGACTGTACGTGAGGGGTTGATTATATCTTTACTGGTGAAATTTGTAAATGTGGTACTGAGAAACTGAAGATCTTTAAAAAAACTATTATTTTTTCAATAAACGGTCCCACTTTTAATATATAAAAATATTACAATTTATTTTTGCGATTAGTGATTACTAGCCACCCGTAATGCGGAGTTTCTGCTAGTGTTATTAACTATATTAACTAATATTGTTTTCTTTGTCTGTGCGGGAGAATTATTGAGAAGTGACGTCAGTGCAGGAACTAAAACGTAGTCGAACAGAGAGCTATAATAACACAAAAATCCAGTTTAGTTTCCACTCGTATGGTGTTTGTTAAAACATGACTATGAACTAAAACATAAAATACAAATAATGTTTAGATGAAATATAATTTTTACCGTAACTTCATAAAACTTCAGTCATGCTTTTTCTCGTTTTACCTTATTGAGTTTTGGATGAAAAACCTTTGTACAAAACCCAGTACAGAAAATTTTCGCCATAAAGAAAGATTTTAATATATTAAAGTCATAAAACAGAAACTAATAATTTAGTGTCACATGCTGGGCGTCGGTATACAAAACTAACTAAATAATATATTGTAAAACAACTGGAGTAGGGTTACTCATACGGTAAAGTCATAATAAACGCCATAATCAAATAGCATATATAACATTATGAGGTAATATCATATATTTGCAGAAAGTGTAACATTTGATTCACAGTCGTAAACGTCCAAGCACAAAATTTAGTTATGACCATAAGGTAGGCAGTACACCTTAATTAGGTTGTTTCTGTATTAGCACAAAGCTGCACAATGGACTATTTACGTTCTGGCTGTCAAGAGGGATCAAATCCTTAATTTTAGCGTTGTAAGCATGTCAAGTTACCGCTAACCCACATGAGTGCAATTGCTTAGTTTACTGTGAAATTTGTTCATTGCATAAGGATGTATGCATACATACATATATTGTTTGCATATAAGCATAGATACATATATTGGATGAATACAAGCATACATACAATTATTGGGTGTATACAAGCATATATACAATTATTTGATGTATACAAGCATATATACATTTATTGGGTATATACAAGCATACATACAATTATTGGG